GGAAAGGAAAAGTTAGATGAAATTAGGGTTCTTCAAGCCTATAAAAGAGAGCCTCATCTACCCAGAAAACCATCCACAGCCTAACCCATCTAGAGCTTGACCAAGCTTTGTCAAGCAACTGGAAATTCACTCAATCCACATCCAGAGAGCAAGCTTCCTCTCTTGCTTCCAAAACCCAGCAATTTCGAGCCCTATTCCTCCATGCTTCTTCTACCTAGCAAAATAACTCATCCAAGGCTTGACCACGCTTTGTCAAACAAATTAGGAATTTTACTCAAGCCACCCAATTCTCTCCTTCGTTTGTTTTCCTCTTCCCTTAGGAAAGAAATCTGTCTAATTTTCCTCAGTTCCACTTTAACCCTTTGTTCACTGTAAGAAACTCACGCTTATCTCTCTCTGTTCATGCTAAACTCATGATGGTTTTGCTCCCATGCCACAAGCTCCTCATGCTAAGCCATTAATCGTTTTATCATGCTTATTTGGTGTTAGTGAGATAAACCTAAGAGTGTTTTTCTAAAGTCTCATCAGATTTTATAAAAGGGAGCTTGGTTTCGAACTCAGGCTTTTTGGGGAATTTTTGTTCGTTGTCTTCTTACGGCAGCCCAAGCCCATTCGTCAGGCTGTTGGAACAAAAACACTCCCTACATGTTTCAAGCGGCCTGTGAGTTTGCTCAGGCTGCTGGAAACAGTCTATTTTATCAAGGTGCTGGATATTTTTGCTGATATGGGATTTCTTCAAGTGTTTGCAAGCCATTGGATATTTTCCTAAGCTATTAGGTCACTCATTCTCTCTCATGCTTACCCATATGTTTGGACTTAAGAAATGGGCTCGAATTTTGATGCTCTCAAACATCCCAAAACTTCCACTTATTGGCCTATCAATGGGCCTCATGAATGCTCGTAACCATCTATACCACAACCCACTCTGCAAGCCCCAGGTATTCGCATGGCTTTGGCCCACTTAAGCTTGTAGCGTGGCATATTGCTTAAATAAGGATTTTCCGCTTGGTGTTGTATTGGGCCGAAAATATATTTGGACCCATTCTGGGATTTTTTAGGCCTTAACAACTAGTTAATTCAACATATTAAGATAAATGCTATTCGTAAAATAAATATAAAAATAAGTATTTAAAAGTCTATAAAACTCTATGACAAAAGTGTATGAAAGTTTGTCACTTAACTTTATAAAGTATATAAAAGTCATTAAGAATCTGCCAACTCTAGGAAAGTCACTCACTTAAAAAAAAGTATTTAAAAGTTAGAATTGGATATACCTCCCTTAATTTCTACCAAAATAGGAGTCATTTCATTATTTTCATAGTGCCATTTATGAAATTATGTTATTTTCAAAATTCAATATACATAAATCCAAACGCTGAAATCTTCAATTACCAGAAATTGAAATGATGGAAATATAAATTCTGTCATTTTAGAATTCTATGTAATTTTCAATTCCTCCATCCAAACAATGCTAGTACTTAGATATTGTTATCCTTTATAAAATAACTTTTCTATGTCTATATGGTCATTAAATTATATTTAGTTCAGCATGAAATTAGTAACTGTGTGCACTACAAGCTTGAAACTCCAATATATTTCAGAATCCGTTTTTTTTTTTTTGGAATCTCTAGATACATTCTAATTCCAATTCAATTTTCGAATTTCGGAACTTTCGGATGTCAAAATTAATTTGAACTTGCTAAAATCAGAAATTTTAGGAATGGAATTGGTTGGATCGAATTTTCCCATCCAACTTGTACCCTTACATTTTCATAAAATATTTCTTGTTTAAAATATATATATATATATATATATATATATATATATATAACGATTCTGATTCATTTTAGGGAATCTCAACGATAAAATTTCACATCCAACGGCTCAAATTTAAATCCAACAGTCAAATTAATATTTATAATTAGCATTCAAAGATCATCTATACAAAAAATCACTTGAATCCAATATCATTTGACCATTCAATTAAATTATTGAAATTTGAGTACTTTTTTGAAGCACTATGTTCATTAATTTTGTTGGCCTCAATTAGATGCCTTAATGATTTTCAATTTGTCTAATTTTTTGCAAGAATGATCTATAAATAAAGACTTGAAAAATAGACGGTTTGGATCGTTGAAAAAAAATTCGTAAGGGTACCCTAAAGGGTGTTCCTCAAATAAAATTATTTAAAGAATTTCTCAATAGAAGGAGACTGAAAAGGAATATATTTATAAATTCCATTCAAATGAGATTTTTTTTTTTTTTTTTTTTGGGAATTTGGTTCTAACATAGCAAATAGTTTTAATGTTTTAAATAAACAATCATTAATTTTATTCTCTCTCATAAAATAAAATAAAATAAATTTCTCTCTCCTCCCTTTTTTATTGGAAACTAATTTTACTTCCAATTTTAAATATTAAAAAAATGTTCTGAACCCATTTTCTCCAATCTTTCGCATCCCTCTCTATCTTCAATGACTCCTCCACCATCGTCATCACCCACACGCCCTGCATTTACTCCTCTTTTTCTCTTTAATCAACCAGCCCACACAATCAATTTGCTTTTCAATTTAAAATTTTACAAAGTATTTTCACCCATGTTCTTCCTCCTCTCTCTCTCCCCCATTCCTCTTGCAGCCCCGAAAAAAAAAAAAACAGTTTGTTCTTCTTTTATTTATGGTGTTTCATCACTTCCTCTTCAGTCACTTCTTTAACACCCGCATATCATATATTGATTTCTTTTTCTTTTTTCTTTTGCTTAATATATTTAACTGAAAAGGTGAAAAATGATAATACTTTATGATAATGGAATGACATGAGAGATTCCTTAGATCTGGAGAAGAAATCAATACATGGTGCGATTTTTCTCCCCAAAACCGCACCTTCACTGTTCTCTGACAGGACCCAAGCTCTCTCTCAGCTTCACCTTTCCAAATTTTCCAAAACAGTCCAATGGAATGCTAGTAAACACCGTTACGTAGGTGAGAAATGCTAGTATATATATAAGGAATGCTAGTAACCTTCTCTCTAACCTTCTCATTTGTAGGTGAGAAATCATACAAAACAGAATATTATTGAGACATGAAAATCACATACATGCACGAGACAAGATCAATCAATCCAATTAAACACCGTTATGAAGGATTACTGATTGAAGAGAAAAATTGGAATGCAGGAGTGTGTGGATGATGATGATGGAGTGACTAAAGTGAAGAAAGAGAGAGATGAATGGAAGAAATTTGGGAGGAAAATGACAGTCAGTTCTTCCACCTCTTAGACATTATAAGATATCAGAATTTTAATCCCAATGTATAAATATTAATTAACGAGAAAAATATTATTTTTCCATGTCATGTTTAATCTCAACCATTAAAAGTGGAGTAATCTAATGACCCAAAAGTCATAAAATGAATTGATCAAATTTAGTGAAAGGGCTTAAAGTTCTGTGGGCTGGGGAACGGGCTAGACATGAGTCTAAATAATCAGAACGTAAAATACTTGCCTAGCCCAAGTTGGGATCACGTGGTCAAAATTGAGATCATTTAGACAAGTGTTGAAAATTGAGATCGTTTAGACTGGCCCAAACTACATAACTCGAAAGTTTGCGGTCGAAATTTTTTAGCTTTGATTGATCAGACAAATCCTCCCAAAGAAAGGATGAGTTCAACATTTGCTTGTACACATCTGCCTCTTCTTCTATTTTAGTTCTGTTTTGATAGTCTAACTTCAATTCCAAGAAGAAAATCCAGCTTGTGTATTGATCTTACTGCACTATCACTTTAGACTTCATGCCATTAAAAGGTACAATGCAAAACCTTCAAGTCAAGCTGAAATTAAGTACAAATCTGCATCAAAGCCTAGATAATATGAATTTTACATAAATCGTAATTGATCTGCAGGTACCGTGTTGAAGGCCATCACATAGTTGAAGTACTCAAGAATCTCAAGAGAAGTGTGAAGTATTCAAGAATCTCAAGAGAAGTGTTCCATGATATTCTCGTCAGTAAATGAGCTCCCTTAGACAGCTCAATCTTCCACCAAAAACCCAAGCCCCGACTCTGCTCGAGTACAAAAAATTTCCAGGCACCTGAGAAAATCTAAGGACGACCGTCCACTCACTATGTACAAGTTTGAAAATATATTGATCCAACGCAGAAGTTCTGCATTCAACTCAGCTCCCCTATGTTACCAAAACCTACCTTTGATAGTGTCAGTCCATACAACTAGAGACCCTTTGCCTCGTGTAATAATCTGGCCTTCCCCTCTCTCCTAAGCATCCATCTTCCACATCACATTATTGACATTGCCTTGATGAGACCTCTCGAGTGAAGCAACTTTGGCTCGATACGCAGCTGCTGCCATGGTGTTATTTACAGTCTGACCCTGAGGGAGCTCACAGGTTTCACTCATAGAAGCAAATCTTAGCTCAGCAGGGGGGATGAAACAGTCTATTGACAAGCCAGGGACATTGAATGCCACTTCCTCAATTGTCCAAGCTTCTTCCATCCTGGTCTTGGTGTGACTCAATGCAGTTTCTCCAAACCTGAACAAAGTTACTACCGAACGTCCTGAGTGAGCAATCATAATTCCCTCAACCGGCCTGTAATCATCGAGAAATGAGTTAATTGTGGTCTCCCAGTAGACAGCATCACCTCCATTGTTCTGAATGCGGGTCAAATGGGAATCTTCCAAGTGTACAAGGAGCCCTGTTTTCTGGCTGAAGTAGCCAAATAAAACATGCCTAATGATCTCTGCAGGCCCTTCACTTCTGGCTTTCAGTGTCACAGGATCCGTAGAAAGCTTGAGGATGAAACACTCCTCCCCATTAATATTCTTCTCACCAATGCATCTTGAATTGGTAAACATGCTGGCAGTGGTTCTTGGGTCAAGTCCCTGTAAGAGAAATAAATTAAGCACAATAATTATATCGTGAATTGGGGAAAAAAGAAAACTGAGCCAAACAAAACTGGATCGGCACATTACCTGAAGTGCACGTCGCAAGGGTCTAACAGGGCCTTTTGCAGCATGTGCACCAAGCCAAGGTGTGTGCCTCCACACAAGCTGTCCATTGCAACCAGCATGAACCTTGCTGCCACCAAGTGCAAGCTCCACATACCACATGTCTGGATGCATCTGCCACAGTACAAAGCCACCAGACTCCGCTGCTTTGGAGGAATTCCGGTTCTTCACAACCCTGTTGGCAGTCTCAAACTCTGAAGCTATCATTCTGACCTTACCCATAGCATAAGCATTGTGGATCGAGTTCTGAAGCTTTTGCCCTCCTGATGCTGCCGTATACTGCTGCAATATATACTGAGCAGATGAAGATTCCTGCAATAGATATTACAAAATCATGTTGAGAGGGTCTCCAAAAACTGAAATGAAGATGAATAAAGGTCATGATCCTGTACAGTAAATGCAGAAATGACATATTCTCACATCCTTACATTTCAAATTTGTAGATATACTGGGAAATGGGTATCAAATACTCAGATTCAACATTCCAGTGCAGTTCCTTTAAAATGCATTAAGTAATTGATAACTACATTATGAGTTCATGCGGATTGTAAGGCGGTATATGTGGTAAAAAGGAATAAAGGAAAATGCTGCACACAGTGTATATTGGTAGAAAAGAATGGCCATCTAAACCAGTTGTGCAGAGTATTTTTAGTATTAAAAAAAGAAAAAGGGAGGTACAGTGCTCAACATCAAGTTGGTTTGCTTACCATCTTTTTCTTTAAATTTTTCCTCCATGTTAATCAAATCAATACGCGTGAAATCAAAGTAACTTACTTTGAATAAAAATTTCAAGGAAATAATCAACATGTCCTACCAAATTTTATATTAAAAAATCAAGCATGCACAGGAAAATCATTGATGAGCCTTTTCTTTCATTTCAGGAACTGGAAAATGTATCAAACAATAACTCACAAACCCACCAACCCAAAACAAGAAAAGCATTAATCTTCATAAAAAGGAACATAAACTACGACAAGTTTATAGCTGCCAAAGTCATAAACTTTATCTCATCAAAAAAAGTCATAACTTCAGACCCCAATTTGGAAAATTTAACATTTCAACATGCAGAAAATTAATTTAATTGCAAAAAAGGATGTAGCTTGGAGAGAGAAAGAGAAGTACTAACAATGGGAGTGTCTTTGATGCTAAGGTGAGGCAAAGGTTCGGTGGTGCTAACGTGCACCGGGCCGAGCGGCGCACCAAGGACCCCAAGCAACAACCTCAGATCCGACCTTTTGTAAGCTGAGCACGAAACCGAAGGAGCCCTGCACAGCTGTCCCTTCATCCAGTGGCCCCACTTCCCCTCCATCCTCGAATCTCCACCGTCCGTCCCATCCGGCCCTTCCTTCAACGGCGACAACGCCTCCGCGGGCCTCAAGCTCCCGGATCTCGGAATCATGAACGGCTCAGGCGGCGCCACGTGGTGGTTCCTCCTTCGCCTCAGCAAACTCGACACTGGGGACCCACTCCTCGCCGGACTTTTCGCCCTGGACCTCCCCGGCGACAACCCCCTCACCACCTCCTCTTTCAAAGCCGAAAAAAACCCCTGCTTTCTCTCCATTTCACAACTCTGCCCCTCAACTAAAATTCTAAAGAAAAAGAAGAAAAATGAGAATGGCAGAATAGCAGCAGAACTTGCTTTGTTGGGTATGTGTTTTGAAGCTATAAAGAGTGAGAGAGAGAGAGAGAGAGAGAGAGTAAAGAACTGAGACAGTGAGAACAAAGCTTACTGAAAGCAACTCTGGCTTTTGATTTTTGAGGAAGGAAAAGATTCAAGGAAATTAAAGGGCAGCAATGATTAAACAAAGGAAAGATATTGCCGCGATAGACAAATCACATTCTGAGAATTCTGATTCTGCGCTCTCTTTTCTTCTTCTTTTATTTTTCTCTATTTTATTTGTGTCTGTCTCTACTAATAATTAATGGAAAATAGTGTGTTTTACTTTTTTACTTTTTCTTTGTCTGGGTGGGGTTTGGCCAACCAGCAACAAGAATAAGAAAGAGCGGGTAGGTCAGGACATATTGGTCATTTCCCAAATTCCCAAATTTCTCATTCGGCGGTGCCTCTCTCCTAGTTTTGGGGTTTCGTCCTCTCGGGGATAATAGGACAATAGTGTGGCGTCCATAAGACCATAGCCTTTTCTGATCATAGACAATCGGAAAATATTGGGGGCAAAATCTTTCTCGTGAGCTATATGATATGGCAGGAGGCTGTCTGTTGGATTTTGGCGCCGTGAGCAACGGTCAAGTGTCTTGGTGTTGGGTCAAACAAACGGCAAGTGATCTGGTCTTTAGTTGTTGGCTTCAATTGGCTTGTTGCTTTGTTGGCACGTTATTATTGGTAGATTAAAAAAGAGATCATGTTGCATGCATTAATGAGTGTGAATGAATTGATTGGGTCTTTGTATTTTATGATCAGCGTGCTATAAAATTACGATTGCTAAGTAAAGCATGCTCCGAACAATTGCCTAACGCTTTACAAATTTCTTTTCTTATATAAAAATATAATTGAATATTTACGTAGAGCAGGCAGGTGCAAAAGTTAAAGCAGGACATTAGAAATTCCAATGTGAAGTGCGAAATCAATTTTGTTGATGTTCGAAATGGGTGTAACTATAAAAAGGTTGCTTCAAAGTAATAATCATATAAGCTTCTCAACGACCAAAAAAGATTGGTTGCTCAAGCTGGTAAAATGATAACTTACGCGCTACTAGAAACAATGGTGTACCTTATTGACTTGTGAAATGACTCTTTTTTTTTAGTATAAGCGGCAGTTTAAATTACAGGGGAGGAGGATTTCTCCCCAAGTCCAAAAGTAATTTGTTTTCGATTTGAATTTTTCATTTCCTCGTTCTATAGTGGGCCCAAGGCCACTCTTTAATTAATCATTTGTTTGGACCCAATTCGGCCTTTAAAGGGTATTTTTGTCCTTTCTATGCATAACAACACGTGGCATTATCTTATTTGTTATGGTCGCTTATTCAGCTTTGCCATTAATTAGTGCCATGAGGGAATGTTTGTTGACAAATTCACCATGGAAATAAAGGACTACTCATGAATGCCCTCTTTATGAAGCTGGTTAATCATGCAGACTTGTTATTAACATAGGTTTATGAATACCCTTCTTCTTCTATTTTTTGGGTCATTTTTATTTTAAAATTTACTGAGTTTCAACTTTCATTAAATTAATTTTTTTTTTCATCTCAATCGCATACATAAAATTGATTTTTTTTTTTTTTTGCTAGGTTTAAACTTACCACCCTATACTCATTCTTGAGTCGACCCATGTGCTTAATGATCGCCATCAGCACCTAGTCATCACTTGCCATGGAGCTTGACACTTGAGCAGGCTGACAGACAATTGTTGGTAACATGTCTTGGTGGTTCGGTAACTTCAGTTCGTGGGGACATTAATAGATTTTCTCGGCATGTGGAGATGGACATTATAATAATAAATTGGGTTAAACTAGGACCAAAATCTTTGTGCATGACCGTTCATTTGTCCCTTGCAAATGCAATTATCATGTATACAAATTTATAAATAAATCTAATCTTAGACATGTATTTATAAAAAAATTCAAACACTATTTAAATATAGAAACACATTCAAAATCAACCCAAAAGTCAACAATTGTATATTTTTTGGGTGTGTTTATAAATGGGTTTTGAGTGTATGTAATGATGGATTTTGGATGTGTTTATAAAGTATTTTGGGTGTTGGGTTTTTTTTATAATTTCAGCTTTTATTTTGGGTGTTTTATTGAAACTCCCTTATATGTACTGATCTCAAAATTTAGGCCAACTTCCTACTTCCTAGCAATATAATTATTTAATGTCAATTACCAAGTTCATCTTTTTAACGAAATGGGACCCATCTAATTGAAAAGACAAGAAATGGGTCCCTTCAAATGTACAAATTATTTTCTTGTAAACTTTAGTTCCGGAAACTCGACTGATGAAATGTTGGTCAACATTATCTCATATTTATTTTGATCAAATGTTCATATACTTTTTCTTTGGTCGATATCTCATATTTATATTGATTGATAGATTGACAATAAAACAAAACTGTCCTCCACTTCATTAGTTTAAGTTTAAAAGGCAGACACCATCTCCTCAATCACCTCGCCAATCACGGAAATCAGTTTATTTTCCATTTTTATTTATTTATTCATGGATCGTGGGGTAAGTGAGAACCATGATTTTGGGTTTGGCATTCTCGTTTCAAATTTCCGTTTCAAACGGCTTTGATTGGAAACTGGATCAGTCAATGTTATGCTATAATTTGTCAAAGCTATTCTAACTTAGTCTCTCTTTTTTTGGTTTGTTTCCGTTGAAAATTATTCATGTCACTTCCAAAGAACACAAGAACAAATTGCTCTTTATCAGGTTTAATATGACTTTCAATGCTTTAGACTACTATCTATTTTTGTTAATTAGAGATAACTAAATCTAATTAAAACTCAACATCATATAATTAAGAGCATTTACTCATGCGTCTGAGAGTTTACGGTCCACTTTGCATGTCTTCTCACAATATTGCTTGTATATCAAATATTTATAATACAGAAAACCCCAAGATTAAAGGGCCTTCTCTAAGTCTTACAATCATGGAGGCCGGCCCATACATGAAAAGAGTTGGGTCCAATCCAACAAACATCTTTTCAGAAACAAGCCATGGCTTGCACATAGTGGCTTAAAGGCTTTCACAACGAAACGCACCCAAGTGATGTCGTTTTGGCCAAAGATGTTTTAACCAATTGAGTATTCTAATTAATCAGCTTCATTGATACACGTACATTCATTACAATATATGTACAATAAACTAATTATGTGCATTTGGTAATGAAAAAAACTAATTATGTGCATAATGAAGACCACTAAAATGCAAGAATTGATTATGTTTTATGCATCAATGGCCTCAAAATCATGAAAATATATTTAAGTTGGTATAAAGACATATAAATAAAGCCATGATCCATCATATCCTTCGCTAACCACAATAATAATTATGTTTATTTAACAACCAAAGTGCCCCATTTTTGAGCTGCAAGCCGGAATTTGATAGGGGTTAAGGGTGCATGGCCCCATTTAATCAGTCGAACCACACAATTTGGCAACCCTAATTAGTCCGAAAGGGGCACGTACGTACGTACCAAGAACACATTTTTTGGACCACCACACGTTTTCCTTATTTGGATGTTCACTCATCAAGTGTGGCAACTGGCAAGAAAGCAACCTTTCACCCTTGATACTGTGTCGTTTTAAAGCTGTGTTCCAATACTCAGGTGGTGGTTTCAGGTACTTTGTACCATGTATCCCAACCCAAATGAATTTTGAGAGATTGCTTATGAAACAAATAATGCATGTTGGTCCCCTACCTACCTCCAACATTTCCCTAATACCAGTATACAGCTGAAGGGCAAGTTGGGTGAGGAGAGAAGCTGGATCTTTTGAGGATAAACATTTTTGCGTAAAATAATACATATATTTCGATCATTTGATGCTCTTATTAACCTTGAAGATTGAGAGTCTAGAACAATGATTTCTTTGATTTTTATGTTTTTTCATGAGAAAAAAAGACTTCATGAGTTGGATTGGCAGATTTCAACCATCCATTTGTGATATTGTTGATTACTATCCAAAGACAAACAAAATTTGGTACTACTGCATAGGACGAATATGCATGTAGCTTTTGGGCCCTAACACTAAGCTGTATTTTGCGACCAAAATTGTGCCGTCTGGCTCCAGCTCCACTAGATGCTAGTGGGCAAGAATAAACTTCCCTCGGAAGAGGCCTTATTGTCTGCTTCGGACCTGTGTTCAATATTTTGATAATGATTTGATTCCTTGGCTTAAAGGGATGGACCACTTAGCCCACACGCATTTTAAAACGTGTGGGGAAGAGACTGCCATATATATATATATACATGCATCTTTGCTTGCAAGTGACAGTGTTTGATCAAACGAGAGATATTTTCATCAAATTTGGGTGATGTGTTTCTTCCCTATGAACACAACCAATTAGGTCTTATTCTAAAGCTTCTTTCCAAGTATCTCTCTAGGGCCTTCTTACATTGCATTTTAGCCCAAATGAAGTCAGCATCAGGCCAGCTAAGTCTTCCAGCTTGCAAGCTTTGGAAATTCTTTTTGAACAACTCCATTAAAAGAGTGGTGATTACTTAGGCCCCGAAAAAAGAAAAAGAAAAAGAAAACCCTAGTGGAGTCTGGCAAGAAGGTGCAGATATAGGGTTTTGAATGTATATTGACTTGGTGTTGGTAAGAAGCAATCTTAAACCGACATATCACATGACAAAGCACGCTAAAAGTGGCAAACGAGAGGACCGACAAATTCTGCTCTGATGGATGGCACTGTAGCTCCATACACATTAGAGTTCACTTAAACGAAAAAGGCTAAAGTTATGGCTCATTTTTCTCTCTCCCTCTCTCTCTATATTGGACTTGGACTTGGAAGGGTGTTCTGAGGTTGTCTAGAATTTCCTAGTGTGACAAGATGCATAATTAGGTCTATAGATTGTAACTTATGATTTACGGGCATATGTGAACAACTGTTATTAACACAATTCATACAAATATATGGAAATCTAGAAATATAAAAATGGGATTAAAACACAGATTCTCTCTCTCATTTTGCGTTTCATTTAAAGATAGAAATGGAATTTAGCATATTTAAGTCCACATCCAATCTGATACCACTTGGAGGAGGCATATGGGCAATTAAAAACGTTTGATTTTGACTTGTGGTCAAGCAAGGGATGAATTGACTAAATAATTTGTTTTATTCTTTGCGGGGATGCACTCGTTTCCAGCTGGCCAGATTAAATAATCCAAAACCATTGCCAAAGATTTACCCAAAATTAATTTGCATAGTAAAGTTAATCCAACATCAACCCCTTCATTTCACCTACCTACCCCGCGTATTATAAATACTCTCCTCATCCCCGCTTCCATAACTCGCACAAACACAAACACACAAAAACACATTAGCCCAGCCTCTTCCATCTTCAACCTCTGTTCTTGGCAAAAATGAAGCTCGGCTTTGCAACCTTCCTGCTTGTTTGTCTTCTTCTCAGCTCCTCTGTGTTTGAGGTTACAATGGCTGGTTCATGTACGATATATGCCTACTCTTCCCAAAAAATATATTACTATGCGTCTCTTGGCTTCATCATATTTTATATGTATATGTATATATATTTATTGTTTTTTTAATTTGCTTATTCTAAAACTATGAAATTAATTAGATGCCTGCTTATTTTTGGGCAGCTTTCTGTGACTCCAAGTGTGGGGTGAGATGTTCGAAAGCCGGATATCAGGAGCGGTGCTTGAAGTACTGTGGAATCTGCTGTGAGAAATGCCACTGCGTTCCATCTGGGACTTACGGAAACAAGGACGAGTGCCCTTGCTACAGGGACCTCAAAAACTCCAAGGGCAACCCCAAATGCCCTTAATTAACCACTCGATTATTATTAAAACCCAACAACAAAAAATATTAACAAAAGTTGATATTGCGTTATATATAAATATGCTAAGTAAGTACTCTCTTCAATTTGTGGTGTATATCATATGTATAAAGAACTAGTTATACGTTCAGTCTTTGTATTCAATTTATAAATCGCTCCCTCTCAAAAAAGAAATAGTTATGTCATACAAAGTTAAGTGAATAAGAGGAGGCCCGTACGTGATGTTGTAATAAAAATCTTTATTATATTATAATTATATATTATGATTATGGTGGGTTTGTTATTGGATTTTAATCTCATTTTGGTTTAATTTTCCATGATAGTTGTTTTTTTGTTTGGAGAAGATTAGGAGCTACCTAGCACGCTTTTAGTGCTCCTCTTATCCTTTCCGCATTCTATGATTTTGGTACAAGTGTAATACTCATCTTGATTTGATCAATCAATCATGGATGCTCATCTTGATTAAGATGGAGGGATGGAGGGCCCTGATTGTGGCACCACTTGATGCTTCTACGTAATGGTTCATTGGTTGGTGCCTTAATTATTAAATGATTAATTGCTTCATACGGGAAGAGTTGGCAGGTGCGTCTGCTCCTAAATTGTATTTGATATGGACACAATTCGTATTAATTAAACGCGTCGTTTTAAATGGTTCGCTTTCGAGGTCGTTTGTGGGCATGAAATTTTAATTTCACATGCATCGCACGTTAATCGTCATCAGGCCCTAATCACCCTGTTTGACAGTCAGATTGGTACTTGCAACGCCACATCTGCCGCGCCCAACCCACCTGAGCCCTAAATTAATTACTCACATATATTTTCTTTCTTGCCCTCTCTCAACAGTTTTGCTCTCAATATATTATACACTCTGTTTCAACTTTCAAACACATTCAATTGAATGAGTAACTAATTTTGTGGCGCAAACTCTCTATCTCAAATTTAGGTTTTCTCTGTATTTTCAGTTTTACAGTGTTCTAAGATTACTAAATTATCACTTGTATAATAAAATTAAAAAAATACAATTATGATAATATTTTGAGTCAACCTTAAATATGAAATCGAGGACGTATGGGTAGTGTAGATCCGGTTGTTTTGTCCAACATGAAAACAAAGATCTCCAGTTGCCCCTTTATCCAGCTAGCTCTCACCTTTTCAGAGCATCCACAATGGGGGGGTGTATTTTCGGGTGTGTAAAACCACTTTTATATCCCCTTTACACCTCCAGGGAGTGTAAATACGTTTTTTGCTCTAACGGGAAACGATGTAAATCCAAAAATGCATATTCGATTTGTTTGTGATAATTCTTTTTTGTGTATTTTGTGTGTGTATGTTTTTACTTTTTAAAATTAATTTTGTGCGTGTTAGATTTATTTTATTTTTCCAAATAAATGGACCTAAAAAAATTTAAAATTTGAAGAACATATGATTTTACCTACAAACTAACATAAAAATATCTATGTAGAAATCTGAGCCATTGGAAGTGCAATGCAAATTGCATGAAATCTAGACCTTCCATTTTGAATTCCAATCCTTCTTTTTCCCTTTTTCTCTTGTGGGTCTCGCCTGCAAATGATGTAAAAAAAAATGCAAATGTGCATCTAATTTTACATCTTCATGGTGGGGGTATATTTTTACAACCATTTACATATTTCCATTGGAAATTATTCCGGCGACAAAAAGTATATATTTAACATACACCCTCTCATACACCCTCCTATTGTGGATGCTCTTAAGAGAAGAAAGGTGGGGTGGGGTAACAGGTTGCCTTCCAAGGACAAATTTTCAATTCTTACAAGAACTCCCGCTAAAAGCGAGTATGAAATCACATTGAAACTTATGCGACTTTGTTTCTCTTTTGGCCTGAAAACGAGTATCATTGTTAGTTTGGTAGATATTTAAGAAATATTTGCCAGAAAAAATGAAATAGTGCTGCCTGATCCAATCCCTTGACTTCACTTCACAGTCAGACTCAGAGGCGTGATTAAACGTCAATAAAGGGAAGGCTTGGACTTAAATCCAACTACTTCAGTCAGGTTATATGCATATGTTTATGTACATGAGTAAATAGGGAGAAATATTTTATTGAAAGGGAAAAAACAAAAAAAAAAACCAGATAATGCAACAACAGTCCACGGTTCCAATTATTATCACTCTTTTCGGTTGGTGGAAGGCAGCCATTAAGCCAGGGGACACCAATAAACCAATTCGCCGTACAAGTCCATCACTTGATTGATCTACACAACTATTTTCATCTATCAACAAAATCATGCCTGTTTGTTTTGTCACCCATTTGTTTTCTTTCCACTTTCCTATACTAAAATTCCATTGTACAGTAACTGAGAGGGATTGCAGATTTCATCTCCTCCCAATGTCCAGCTTCTTCCATGCACCCACCACATGCGTATGCTTTCGGAGCTGTCTGAAACAGAATATCCACCACAGTGAGTAATAGAAGTTCTTCCAACTACACTTTTGAAAATTTTGATTTTAAAGCGGTTGAAGCTCTTGCTCAGGAACAATGGCCCTGGCAGCAATGGGCTCATACGAAACGATGTCTTGCAATCTATATTTCCAAACCAACCATGTCCCTAATGCTAATAATCCAAGAACAGAGGTAACTATAACTGCAACTGCCACCGCCCAATAGTGTTGCTTCCACCATGACCTGCAATTCTCGAACAGAATCCAATTTTAAAGATGACACATAATTTGCATAAAAGACTGCAGCAAAATTCTAAAGTTAAAACGGTTGAGGAAACAGGACACGGAAAAGGAATCCAACTATCAATCTACAAAAGATTCGAATACAACCTCACCAAGAAAATAATTAAAACACAAAGTGAAGGAGAAAAATAAAATCAACAAAATCAACCTGATTGGCCTCTAATCTAATACTAGAATGAGATGTTTGATTCCAGTGAAAAGAATGCAAAAAATGAGAACCAATTATGGAGTGAGAAAAGAAGAAGTACCAAAAACACAAAAAAAATAAAAAAGATAAAAAAGAACAGACACAGTAGAGCATACCGCTTCATTTGAGGCTCAACCTTCAATTTGACCAGATGATAACTTCCAAATTTCTGAGGAATATGCATTTGATGTTCCTTTAACCGCCGAATAATGCCCTGCAATATTAAATAAGAATTAGCTTAGCACTGTAGTTGGCATATGGAAAAGGCTCCAATTGTAAGTATATGTACTCTGGCACCAGTAGTCCTATTACCGTTGCTTTGGTTTTAGAAAAGCAATTTGCAGATTCAGCAGGGACGATCGCCCACCTAATGATGAAGTTATTTCCTGTATGGGTGTAGTTCATTAAGCGAACCTGAAAAAGAGTTCATTTCGTGGATGTTAAAGTAATCCAGAAATACAAAGGCAAAATAATAATAAGAGATACTGGCACACTGTAAGGGCAGGTACTACAGACCACCAAGGGTGGCAATTGGATGGGCTGAGTTGGTTACCAAAGAAAATTGAGCCCAAGTTTAATCTAATCATTGATCAAATGACAAAGAAAGACCTTGACAGCCATAGAACTTCAAAGCCTTTCATTATTTTTAAATATCGGGATACCATGGGAGAGAGTGGAGTAATATTCTCTTGATTCTTTCTTACAGCTGGATGCTGAATTCTTGATATCATACATGGTCTTATGCATAGTTGAGCACCTAGGATCTAGATATTAAGGGGAAGAAGATTTTTGACAGGATGCTAGGTCGAAGATAAAGTAGCTCAACCATACCTGTGAAATATTAAGTTCCAGCTCATGAGCAATAGACTCTGCGAGTTCTGTGAAATTGGGTTTGATAGTGTTGTTGATGCTGAGCATCATATCAAAACTTATTAGCCCTACTTGAAGTACACCTACATATCAAATGTTTGAGATGTCATGGAAGAAAATAGCCAAAGTTGCAGAGGGAGGGCAAATTTCAAATGCATGAGAGGAGTATAAGGTTAAAATTTATGCATGTGCACAATCCCTCCTCTCCCCAACCCCCAAAAAGAAAAATGCTTCCTATTTCATGATAACAGAAGATAACTACTTAAGTATATTCAGAAAGATGTTGACTTGGATTAGAAATGAGTCCAACGAACCTAACAACAGAAATGTTAAGTGTAAGAAATTATACTAACAGCCTAAACACTAGGGTATAAATCATAGCTCTTGAACCCACTATGGGTTGACCACATGCGGACACTAGCATATTGCCCTATGCACAACAATACTTTTGAATAGATATATCAATAAACGAAAAAAAATTCCTCCCTTTTTCTGTTCATAAATGCAATTACTGCTTCCATTTTTCACAAAATCTAGCTCTTCATCTATCTACCTGATGCTGTACCAGTGAACTAGTGACCGATTGTGGATCAATATCCAATATGGTTCAATATTTGATAACTATGTTTTTTATTTGAAAGTACCATAAAGGTTATTTAAACACTTGAAACCCACTGTACCTGGAATAACTGTATCAGGCAATCCACTCGGAGCAATGCTAGGAGAAATTTCTACACTTGTATTTCTGCCATCAGATGCTGAAGGTGCTGGAGGCGGAGCATTACTATAATTCAATCTTTTCCATAGTTCAGAACAATTGGTTTTCCAAAAGCCAATCTTGTCGTTTGCTCGATCATAAGTCACAAGGGTATTACGTGTAACAATTCCTGTACAATCCAGAAATGCAAAGTGAGCTAGCTCCATTTTTCGATTGTGAAAATGCTTGGACATGCATGTTTTGGGCAGAAAATGGGGAGGATATTTATTATTTGAAATGTTTACGCAAGACATGATTTTGCAAAAGAAATTGTAGAACAACATCAGACCAAATGTGTGTGAGAGAGAGAGAGAGAGAGAGAGAGAATGAGTGATTTTGTAAATATCACATACCTCCTAAAAGAGTAGTCGAATCCCCATTTTCAAAAATTCCCAGGCAATAAGCCCCGCTAACCTTTGTATGCTGAGGATTAAGAGCACAAGCAAAACAGAAGAAAAAAACAATAGATCAAAATGTGCATGATTAAATAAATACAAGAATGACCCACGCATGCAACGTGAATGCAATATGACCGAAGATAAATGACATTTCCTATGTGATGATTCACAAGGACAGCTCTCTTAACAATATTATAGATAAGAAATCTGAATTATAAATGTCAGGAAAAAAAAAAAAAAAAAGCCTCAAAACCATTTTCAATCAGATTTTCCACCATAAAGAGGCTCATAAATTATTTCAAGAAGACATGCTTAAGAACAATAAATAATCAAATTACCGGGAACAGGTAGT